GGGGGGGCTTCGGGCCACGGCATCGCTTCTTAGTAATGAAGGTGTGGGACCTCGCTCCTCTTCAGGGGAAAAGAGAAAGAAGGAGAAAGCAAAAATAAGTAAAAGCAAAACAAAAAAAGCTTTTTCTCCTTGTTTTTTTCTAAAAAGAGCAAAAGGTGAATTTTTGGTTTAACCTCCCTGGCTGATCTGGCCCTACAATCTCACAAGTCACGAATCTTCATCTTCCCAGACCCAGCTCCGAGAGGGATGGCTCCGCCAGCGAGGATCGGGCAGGGATCTCGGCCGGTGGAAACCACCGTCGTTTGCATCCCCGGCACACGGAGCTGCGGCCCCCGAGGATGCTGCCCAGATAACCGCGCTCTCGAGGCAGCGCTCCACCGTCTCCCCATCTAATTAAGCTCCGAAGTGGATGGAGGCGATGGGGAGGATGAGGAAGGGTGTTTGCACCACAGTCAGGAGGTGTGGACGGGTGTGGGGGACCCTGCCCCACGCCTGCCTGCACCTCGCGGTCACCGCCAAGCCTCCCCGGTCACCTCACACGGCGCGATGGTCATTTCATAATTCAAAATTATCGACTAAGCGTTTTTTTCCCAGGCCTGTCCAATTACTTTCAAACACACCGATTTGATTTTAACGTCAAAGAGATTTTCTCTCTCTCTCAAGTTGTTTTCACTTAAAAAAAAAAAAAGTCCTGGAGCACCAGACAGAATAATAAGCAGACTCGCTATTTAGTCATAGAATGACCTGAAATTTCTCTGAGGAAACATATTTTTCACTGAAAAACACTGGAAAAATCTGTATGAAAGTTTTTCCTCGACATTTTCTTGCTTTAGAGGAAACAGGAGAGCAATTTTTCCCCATCACTTTCATAGTTTGTTATTTTTTCTTCCCTCTCTCTCCTCATCCCCAAGAGTTTCCTCCAGGTTGGTTGGCCACACAGTGAGAAAAAAGGCAGCGGGACGAACCAGGCGTTGGGAACCACCGAGAAACGAGGACACATCTCAACGAGGAGAAAGAACCAAAGTTGTTTTGTTTCTGATGCTTTCCAAACAAATATAAAAGGGATTTAAGTCTACAAGTTGACCAAGATAAGGCAGTTTTTAATGTTTTCCTTGTGAAGGTAAGGTTTTCTGGCTTTTATGTGACTTATTTTTCCAGCAAACTCTAAGTTTATAGTCCTTCAGAGCTGACTAGATAGCCTGGAGCCAGGCAAGTTTGGGCGACCAAGAGTAGCCTGAGAGGGGGGGCTCGGAGAGCTGCGCTTGTCCCTCTCTC